TCGTATAATAGACAAATAGTCATGTTAATTTTTAACATTTCTAAAAGGAGCTAAAAACTCAATTAATTTAGCTACAAATTGCTTATAAAATCAATAAAATCGGTCCATTAGAACAAAATATTTTGGAACGTAAAACACATGAAATTTACTGATATCCATTACTGTCAGTGTTCGCTAAATATCTTAACGAATTAATGCCAAATTAATAACTAATAAAGGGACAAATGACGAATTAATAAAGAATAGTTTTTAAATTAAAGCTAGATTGCAGAAATTAAAAAAGAAAAGATTAAAAAAAAGAAAAGATTAAAAAAAAGAAATTAAAAAAGAGAAGCTAGAAATTAAAAAAATACCGCATTTTAGCTCATTAGTTTCACTACAACTTTTAGATTATCTTCCTCGATATTGTCACTTAAAGAAAAATAAAAAGGCAAACACAAAAATAATAACCAAATCGAAAATCTAAAACGGCGCCGAAGCAATTGTTATGTAAATGTCTACGTTCTACTTCAAATTTACATAGTTAATGGAGATTTATATACTTGCCGGTGTTGGTTATTAAAAATATGTATTAGAAGGAAGAATGGAACCAGAGAGTCAAATTAAACGCGGCATTACATAATAGAACACGTCAAAGTCGTTCCAAATCGACTGTGTCTGCGCTTATCGGGGTAGGAAATCTCAGGAGTGCCATTAAGAAACGACTATCTGGTGCGTTTATCTCGCTTTTAGGAAGTTATCAGTCGTGTTAGGACTTTTTATTTTGGTCTGGGACAGTCCCCGATGTGAAAAATTACGCTTGTCTAGTATTTCTAGAAGAATTTTGCTAAAAAATACCTGGATACGAGAAATAAATGTTTTTATATATGGTCTGTTAGGCATTTATGGAGAACCATAACACAAAAATCATAACAAAACATCGCAAAACACAAAATGCTTATACATAAACACAAATAAAGAATTATTCTTCAAATTAAAAAATAAATTAAGGTTAAATTTGCGCAAAAAAAATATTTTTGGCACACTAGTCGAGCAAGAGGCATATCTTCATCGCTTTCATCAGCATCACACTCAATAACATCTTCTTGCCAGTCTACTTCCTCAAAATCTTCAATAGTATCGGAATCAAAAATTGATCTATTGCCGTTTCCTATTTTCTTCAGCAAGTTTTCATTGAGGGATATATAGAGTACACGGCTCTATCATTAGTAAGCCTGTTTGAATGAATATGACTATAAATGTTAAAACTGCGTTCCGTGGCAGCCGAAGATGCTGGCATCATCAAAATTCGTGAGGCTACTTGTGATAATGAAGATGAAGAACACAGTCCTTTCCACCTGGAGACTGGGTTATCAAAACTACTTTTCCATATGAAGTTATTTCCAAATAACTTGCCACTTCTACAACGGTAACCTGCTATTTCATCTATTATTTCTTGCTCCTTTATATTGAGTTTATTTTTTTATATATTAAGTATGCATTCTATAGCAGAAAGAATTTGGGTTTCATCAAGTTCAGAACCTTGTGATTTTGGATTTAGTAATTCTGCAGAATAATGAATGGGTTTAATAGCAAATTTTTCTCTTTTGTCAACAAACTCCAACAATTCGGATTTTTCTTTGTCGTCAAGTGAGGACAATGCAAGATTATTCTGAATTACCCTTCTAATATCACAAAACGCTTTTACAGCCAAATGAATAGTGCTATAATCTCCTTCTACAATTTTTAACTATTTGCCAATAGGTTTAAAAATGTTAATATCTACGAGCTCGGGACTTCTCCGTAGAAATGCGAGGTTGCAAATAAGTTGCCGAATCCTCAAACTCGATATATTCACCATATTGTATGTTTGTAAAACTGTTCTATAGCAAGTTTAATGTTTATAGGGTTACAAAATATGAAAGATTTATTAATAAACATCGGGTTTGAATCGTTAATGACAAAATTTAAGTATTTTTAAGAATATTTCCAATATTTCCGAGACACGTTTGGAAATTTCCAATATTTCCATTTACAACACTAGCTCTGTCTAGATTATTTTCTTCGTGTGATAAGCCGTAGGGTACTAGTTACTTTAAACGGAACACACAGTATATAATTACATTTTTGGAAACTGCTTGTTTATCATAATTTTTCTATTGTACTATCCTATACCTATCTATAGTAGTTTTTTATTTAATTTTTTCTTGGCTTTAGGTCAGGTAAAAATGAGAAAAACGTTTTTTTTTAAATTAAAAATTTCATTGACGTTTCGACCTGGCAGGGTCTTTATCGAAATTTATTACTTGAACGTAGATTTCGGTCGTTTTGTTTTAGTTTTTATTTTAATTTTTATTGTTTACTTATTACACTTAGTGTTAGTGTTGTAATTTTTTTTTGTTTATTGTTTACTTATTACACTTAGTTAGTGTACATTATAGTGTACATTATAACTAGTTATTACACTTAGTTAGTGTAATTAAAACTTTTTTTTTCTCTTCCTGTGTATAAAATAAATAATACACACGAGATGAAAAGAAAAAAAGAAATATGGCAAAATTGCGAATGAAAATAACTGTGGTGGCGGTTTGAATTAAAAAGAAAAGAAGAAAAAAATGAAAGAAAAAATCAGAAAAACTGAAAAAAAGAAGAAAAAAGAAATGAAGAAGATATCAAACAAAAATTTAAATTTTTAAATATTTGTGTAACAGGATTCAGGAGCATATAATATACAGGGTTGTTCATCACATACGACACGGAGTATTGTAGCTAAACGATGAGATTTTTACAAATTGTAAGTTTGGGGTTCGTTGAAGGACTATTAGAGCTACAATTTAAAAATATTTTTACAAGATACAGAGTGTCCCAAATAAATAAAAAATACAACTTTGATATTTTTTTTAACTGAACACCTGTATATTATTACATTTTTAGTTTCTACGATTAAAATAAAGGTAAATTTGATTAAGGTTTATTATACTTAAACCTTACCGTTTTTGAAATATTTTCAATTTTGTGAAATTGCAGTAAAACTTTTAAAGCTTCATTTCTCCAAGGGTATCAATGTTTTTAATACTAAATATTTAATGAAGTTTATTTATTGATCAGTTATTGTGTTGCAATAATAAAAATAATACTACCTTATACAGAGTGTCTAAAAATTTATTTTAAATAATTATTAGCTTCAAACGGCAATAACTTCTTTAATTTAAACACCCTGTATATTTTAGGAGAATCAGATGCACAATTAAATTGTCTATCAAATTGTATTATACCATTTTTTACCTATCCCTTCAAGTTTTCGTAGAAAATGCATTTTCTTTTAATTTAGACCTCATTGATCAATATATCCATGGAATATTGACATTTTAGATTGTTTTTAAAGCAACAAATGTACAAAATGTACAGACTAGTAATATTATCGTTTTTAGCAAAACGATAATATTACTAGCCCATTTGTATGCAAAAAGAAAACTATTTAAATCTTTATAAAAGAGTATACCATTAATTAAATATAACACCATTATTTGCGCCCATATACTAATTAATTACATACTTAATTGTGTTCGTTATTAAATTATTATAAATAAATGTGGATTTGAGTCAGAAATCAATATAATAATAAGTTATCAAATTAAAGTCTCTGTAGTTATAAATAAGCATTTATTAAAAAATGAAATATCATTTTTAAGGTGTTACTTTTTATCACACTGTCTAATGCCCATACAAAATTCAGTTTTTTAGTATTTGGAGCAATTATTATTAATCAAAGCAAACAGTCAGTTAATGTTGTTTGAATACTGGAATCATATTAACTGATCCTCTTTAACAAATATTTAAACAGTTTTTTTTTATTTTTTATTGAAATAAACGAACTATATCGACAATATTAGTATCTGTACTCTTTAAAATTTGGTACATCTTTAAAAATAATCTAAAATGTCAATAGTCCATGGGTATATTGATAAATAAGTTCTAAATTACAAGAATATGCATTTTCTACGGAAACTTAAAGAGATAGGTAAAAAATGGTATAATATAATTTGATAGACAATTAAATTGTGCATCTGATTCTCGTAAAATATACAGGGTGTTCTATTTAAATTAAACAAGTTATTGCCGTTTGAAGCTAATAATTATTTAAAATAAATTTTTAGACACTCTGTATAAGGTAGTATTATTTTTATTATTGCAACACAATAACTGATCAGTAAACAAACTTCAGTAAATATTTAGTATTAAAAACTTTGATACCCTTGGAGAAATGAAGCCTTAAAATTTTTACTGCAATTTCACAAAATTGAAAATATTTCAAAAACGGTAAGGTTTAAGTATAATAAACCTTAATCAAATTTACCTTTATTTTAATCGTAGAAACTAAAAATGTAATAATATACAGGGTGTTCCATTTAAAAAAATACAACTTTGATATTTTTTACTTATTTGGGACACTCTGTATCTTGTAAAATTATTTTTAAATTGTACCTCTGATAGTCCTTCCTCGAACCCAAAACTTACAATTTGTAAAAATCTCATCGTTTAGCTACAATACTCCGTGTCGTATGTGGTGAACAACCCTGTATAAAAATATACTGGATATTTAGAGAAAAATGAAAACTAGGCTGAACAAATTTGCGCGTCATTTATTATTTTCCAACTCAGATATAACGGATTTCATATATTTAGCAGACAATATTTTATTCTGCACCAAGTGCGTGCCAAGAAATGTGACAGGGCTTGGACGTTTGGGACACCCGTACTAAAGCAGATTTTTTTTTATTTTTAAACCCGTCCCACAGCGAAAAAAATATTTATTAATACCGTACAATCTCCGAAATTCGGTAGTTATATTGGAATCTTTTGTTCTGCATTAATCTTTGTTGTTTTGGTACAACTAAAATATTATTGTCAAGATTAATTACTCAAATTGTATTAAGATATTTCTCCCATGTTAATGGAAGATTTTTTTTTCATTTCTAAATAATGTCACAGGGGAATATTGATGAACAAATTGCACTTACTTGTTTTGAAAAAACCGCTATGTCTTCGTTAAAGGATTCCGACGAACATACGTCTCCTCCCGCCACTCCTGGCTCCCTGGGTGTACATGTGGCTAGTTCGCATTTTTCGAAAATTAGGGCTAGCAAAGGGAACAGCGGATGTCTGAAAAAAGAGAGTAAATTAATAAATCAATCAATTTTATAAAGGAAAAAAGAAATCTTTAGATAAAATACACCAGAGGCTTTCAATTTAAACAAAAATGCATTTGGTTTGGTTTGGTCATTTTTCTCAGGACGCGACGCCCTCTAAATTTTTAGTTTATTATCTAAAAAAAATAACAGACCATTGTAAACCCTTAATATTCACATTAAACCTTGCCCCAAAGACGATTCGTTTCCAAATTAAATCACATGGCAATTTACCACTTTTTGCAAATATTTTTTTTTCTCTCGATCTAGTTCTCTCGCAACCATGATAATTACATATTCTAGTACAGAATTGAACGCTCTACAAAAAAGGTATCTTACAATTTTTCGATAGACCTACTCCTTCAAAAGTTATTCACGGCTAAAATTAACCACTCGGCAAATTCCTAAATTTTTCAACTTTTTTGAAAAAATTATGACTATTTTCGAAAAATTTAATCTATTGTTTGAAAAAAAGCAATTTTCATGATACCATGATAATCAATTTTATGGAAAATTATTGGAAACTTATTTAAAAAATTGGAAATTATGGAAAACAATTGAATTCATGACAGGTTGTTAATTCTAATACTTATTATTTTTGAGCTTGTATTCTTTTGCCCAGTACTTAATTAATTAATTTTAAGTAAGTTCGGTAAATTTCTGTTATTTTCCTAACATTTTTTTTTCTATTAAAATTACGATTTTAATTTATTTTTAAAAACATTCTTGCCAACATACAAAAAAAAATATCAAAAATATAAAAATCTAACTTTTAAAAACCTAACCATAAGAATGTTTATTAAAATAAATCAGCTATACGTAAATGGTTTAAACTTCATTAGACTTGAAGATTTCTTAATTCCCAACCATCAGAATTGTATGTTTTTACAGTAATAGATTAAATGTTTCAAAAATAATCATAATTTTGTCAAAAAAGTTTAAAACTTTAGGAATTTACCGAGTGGTTAACTTTAACCGTGAATAACTTCTGAAGGAGTAGGTTTATCGAAAAATTATAAGAGACGTTTTTTGTAGAGCGTTCAATTCTGTACTAGAATATGTAATTGTCATGGCTGTGAGAGAACAAGATCGAGAGAAAAAAAATAAATATTTTTTTTCTCTCGATCAAAAAAAAATAAATATTTTTTTTCTTTTTTTTTTGGCAAATGCCAAAAGTGGCAAATTCCCATCTAATTAAAATGTGTTAAAGGTTTTTTTTTAATGTGAATATTAAGGGTTTACAATGGTCTGTTATTTTTTTTTAGACAATAAACTAAAAATTTAGACTTAAAATAAAATGACTTAAGTCAAAGACTTAAGACTTAAATCAATTATTGAACTTTATGTTGAATTTGACTGAAGTCATTTTAAAACTGACTTGTGACTACTCTAGAAATGATGATGTATATAATGAGGATGACATGGTATGTTGTTTTCGAAAATATATTGAAATATCAACAAACCGATAATTATACTGACCTACTGGATAGATATATCTGCGGTGACAAATTCGGTCTGACTTTTATGATTAATCGCCGTACGAGGTCAGTTTTGTTTTGTTTCGTTCATGTCGCAAGCTGAACGAATCAAACATTTTATTGTACCGTTTTTATCACAGCAATAAAATGCTAAAATGTGATATTTATGCCGTATAAATACGGCTTTGTTTTAATGATATCTTTATTAACCCTATAATTAAGCAGATTGGAGAAAAAGAATGACATTTTTTTCAGTTTTTTTTATAATTTGACCTAAGTCTTTTTTCTGAAAATTTTCACCAAAAAATCGTATATTGTTTTATTAGGAGTAAAAATGAAACTTTTTGTGTCGAGGCTGTACGTTTGACATTACAATCCAGGCACAAAAAGTCATTTTTAATATATAATAATAATAATAATAAATAAAGCTTTATTGTACAAAAAGCCAAAATAGCTTCATCGACAAAGCATTTAAAAAACAAACAAAAACACAAAAAATATACAAATAATAAAAAAATATCATACAATTTAAAAAAAAATATGTCATTAAAATATAATAAAAAAATAGCATACAATTCCAAAAAAAATATGTCATTAAAATCACAAATAGAACATACATATACATACATTGCAGAACACAAAAAAACGTATCAATAAAAATTTTACAATTTTAAAATTGTAAATGGTTACTTTGTAAACTTGTAAATAGTTACACTTAATAGTTATTATGAAATATTAAATACTAGACCTTTAACCAGTATGTGAGATGATCAAAATTTTAAAATTCGCAATTATTCAAGATTAAACATCAACAAAAAAGTCGTTTACCGCATATAGGGCTCTCTCCATCAGTAAGTATGATTTCAGAGCTTTGCGAAATGCGGGAAAGAATGAAAGCGACTTGATCAAAGGCAGATGATTGTACATTTTTTTGGCATTGTACAGTATTGAGCCTTTAACTAGCTCTGAGCTCGGGATTGGCAGATATAGATCGTGCTCCGCATTCCTAAGTGGATAGTTGTGAGGTGGCCTTTCGGGAATAGCAGATATGTGCTTGCGGATTAAGAAAACGGATTCAAAAATGAATAAAGAAGGAAGAGTCAGTATTTTGAAATTTTTAAAAAAGTTCTGGCAGTGAGTTCTACTGTTCAGTCCCAATAAATATCGAACTGCTCTCGAAAATACGATCAAAGTTTGTCGCTAAGTATAGTGTTGTAGTTTTTTTTATCTGTTTTTTTAATGTTATATTATTAAATTTTTCTTCAATTTTAGTACGCCACTGGAGAAATATAACATCTATTAATGAACTGATTTCGTTTAGAGACGTTCTGTTAATTGTTTCGACAGCTTTTAGGATCACTGTCAGAATTATTTTGGGACATTCGTATCCACCGAGTGATAAAACTTACGATAATACAGAACACCATATTCTTTATTCTTATTTTGTTTTATATAAATAAATGAATACTAATTGTGATATGTACAGATTGATAAAAACAATAATTTGTCTTAATTTGTTTATGATATCATGATTCGGGTCTTTATTTAAAATTTTCCTTTAAAAATATTAGCTTAATATAGTTTTTTTCTTGAATTATGAAATTTTATAAAATTAGTGTTTGATTCAATAATAATTTAAAAGCACGCAATTTTTTACCTAGAAAACTCATACGATGAAAAAAAAAGCGGCGTCATAGACGGCTGGGGAACGACAATCGGTGATAATTTTGACGAGGTCAAGCCCTAGACGTCATTTACTTCGTCCGTACTCTTCTTTATTTTTTAATGGTGCCTTAAGAAGTTCGTAATTTATTTTTATAGTCTATATTTTCCCTATTGGGAGTGAGTAAGTTGACTCATTCTACGGTCAATTCTAGGTCAATTTTCTTTAAAATCAGTGCGCTGTCGTTCTCCAAAGAGCAAAAATAACGGTTTTTACGTATGTATTGTACGTGTTTATCTGGCATATGTATCTGATACATGCTGTTTGCCCCGCCTCAAAGTCTAATAATTAAAACGCTTCAAAAATAACGCTGACGTAATTTTTAATACGTTCTCATTGAATAGAATAAGAATTATGGCGTGAATCGCGGTTGCTCTTTTTCGCGAGAGCGTAAAAACGCGTAATGTAAAACAGTGGCGCACCTCAGGACAAAGAAAGGGAAATAAGTCTAATAAATAGATATATTTTTACTTTCGTAGGCATACAACTATAAAAGACTATTTATTAAATATAGTATGGTACCTTCTTGGATCCGTTGGATACAGGGTGTCCCAGAAATAAATGCAAATATTTTAACTGGTAGTATATTTCGACCCCAGAAACACGCCTATGAGGTTTTTTTTGCGAAAAAAAATTGTTGAAAATTTTATATTTTTCATGACATTTTCCGGGAAATACTAAAACACTTTTTAGTGCCACTTGTTTATTCACCTACGGTGCATCTAAACCTTGCAGTGTTGCCACCTCCTATATTATGCATATTCAACATTATTTGTATTCACATTTGTATTCACCGTAATTTTAAATTTGCACAATTACACAAAAAATTACGAGTATTAATTCAAATCGTATCTATTACTAACAATTCTATTACACAGTCTATTACTAACAATTCTAGAAACAAACCACTTTTTTACGCATCCCACATTTTTATATCTATTTTTAACTACATATACTTAAAAATAACTCTTAACATTTACATGTTTCAATAAAAAAAAGCATTCTTTTAAATATTTCGTTTGTACTTACAAACTGGGTAAAATTATTCTTATGAGTTTTACGAAATTCATGATTATACCGCAATATAACTTTATTTAGAACTAAATTTAGTACAATAATTCACCATATTATTCATACTGAGATCACATAAAAGAAGTACCAACATTTTTTAGGAATTTGCTATTCGGAACATCGAAAAAGTCAGACAAATAAACCGTATACAAACGACACACAACAACTCATTCCGGGGATTTCAGATTTAACTAATTATAGCATATACTTCTTTTGACTATGTGGCAACACAGTGTGTCTAACAAGCTGAAAAATCCTTAATAGCCGGTTATGGTCAGCGGTTCTCAAAATGTTGCCATTATTTTTTTAAATTTTCAAACCTAATAACTCGGCTATTTTCAATTTATTTTAAAAATGGTAAAGAAAAAAGATGTTTCTTTTGACCAGATCTAACTGCCTCTTAAAATATCTGTGCTTATTTCTGGGACACCCTGTATATATATGACTATATTTTTGTCTTGATATTATTTATTGATACAATAACTAATAATAATACTTTCTTCGTAATTACTTTAATTAATTATTATGTATTATATTAAAGAATATCTATTTATGTCTATCATTGAAAATTGTTTAAAACTATAGACTAGTAGTAATTTAAGTGCACAACAAATGATAAATTGAAATCATAACAAACTTCATTATTTTATATCCTATATTATTTAACTTGCTTCGATGATATTATGAATTATTATGTTTTAT